GGATTGAAGGTTATCCACTTTTAACCTCTCCTGCCTCTTCACTTTCCATCCTGCTACTCAGGCAATAATAAGAAGGAGGTTTCCGTGACTTTCTTCGAAAGTTTTCCACATCCTTGCACTTGCATCGATACAGCCTAACAGTAAGTGTAAGTGGCATCCAACGTATTAATATGACGTCTGACAGCTAACTCCCAAAAGTAGACCACGAACCCAGGCCTATGTGAATTAGCTTCATCTTAGGATCTTTGTAGCTGTATTTTGCTGAGCTAAACATCACAACAGACGGGTTCTTGAATTTCTTCACTTCCAATTCATACGTGAGAACTGTTCCCTCAGATAGGGTGTAATTGCCAGTGAATGTCAGTTCCAGGTGTACATTCTAGTCATGCTTTGCTTTTTTGCTTTTCTGCTCTATCGTTTCTCTCTTTTACCTTGCTCGAACAATCATTGCCCATCATTTGAATGACGAATAAATTGCATCGGAGAAGCAGTTTATAGTTCAAGGCTCATTTTCCACCGCCGATTCTGCTCCTTTTTCCAAGTAGAAAAAGAGCAGCTCTCCTCTTACCTATTGGTGAACTTCGCGAGGTGGCCAAGGTAATTATCGGTTTCCCTTTTGAGCCTTGATTGGAGGCACATAAACTGAGAGACAATGTATTGGGGCGCCATTCAGAACAGGGGCAAAAAGGCCGAAGAGGTGATTTGTAGAGGAGTATATGCTTGGTTTCTAGCTGCCGGACTCAGAATCGCCCTTAAGTTTCAGAAAACTACTGATATCAGAGGGCAGATAAGGTTTAACGGCATATGGTGCACTTTTACGCGCATGGCAAGCGAATTGAGCCCCTGATCCGGCCAACTAAGCCTTTCAACCCCTTCAATGTAGGATGTTCGATATCGGTGTCATCTGGGGAAAAATACTTGCACGTCTGCACACGCATTCGATAATTACGTTTACGATTCTGAGCGAAAGTCAAATGCGAGGCGCATGCCGCAGATTATCAATGCCAACAGTTTTCACAACCTATTTTTACATAGTACCAGTAGTAATAATCGATGATCAGAATTTTACAGTTCGTTTAAATTTGAAAAGAAAGAAAGAGTGTTTGCTTGTTGTATCCAATCCGCATCCCTTGATCCATTACTATTCCTAAAAGGGCTCACAACGGCAGCCTCCTAAATTCGATCCTTAATTCAGGCGGTACAAATGGTGCAACTTTTGTCCTCATATGTTGCTACTATTTCTGGGCTACTTAGTATGAGCTATTCCCAATCCAAATATCAGATTAACATGGAATTCACTTCAGGATATCTTTTGCTCAGATGAGTTTATCAGGAAACTACGCCAGCTGACATTTTCCCATTACCTTTCATGAGCCACAATTGTTATTGTTGTTTTCAATTTTTAGTGCCCAAATATTCTCCTACTAGCCCTCTGCACAATACTTTGTCCACCCGATTCTGTGCAAGTATATGTAATAGAAACATCATCAACGCTGATGTTTTTTTTGGTTTTTTTTATTTGAGCGCTATCAGATATATTTTTCCATGCAAGCGCAAGAATTTCGGTTTTCTATCGTTTATACATCACACAATACGATTACCATAGGCAGGAGCGTTCTTTCAGTGGAAGCATCTACAAAGACCTAAAATCGCTTTGGAACCCCGATATTTCCTCTTCAACGTACATACCGCTGAATCATTTCCATAAAAAAGGAGACCGGGTTACTCATAGATATTACTGGTCTTCGAATTTTTTGGTCGTAACATGATTTCCAGAAAAAGCGTTTTATATTCCTTGGTTTCCCGACAGCGTGACAGGCGAGTGTGTAACAAATAGCGTCCTTGGATCGCCAATGAACTGAAGAGCAAGAACGCAGCATAGACAACGTCGTTCTTTGATCCATTTCACGTCGACATGTTTTTCAATAGACGACCGACTCACACTGACCTGTTTAGAACGTTGGGGAAGCGTCCTTGGATCGCCAATGAACTGAAGAGCAAGAACGCAGCATAGACAACGTCGTTCTTTGATCCATTTCACGTCGACATGTTTTTCAATAGACGACCGACTCACACTGACCTGTTTAGAACGTTGGGGATCAACAGTCAGGTCATTCGAACCATTTGGACAAACGAACTACCCTATGAGACGATAGGGGGCATGGACATTTGGGAAATAGAGACTTGGATAGTGTACAGATCAATGAGTATATTACCCAGAATAATTGATCAACAACGAAATAAATCTCTCTCTTATGAGATGAACCACGCAAGTGGAAAATGAAGATTTCGGATCATTTCCATGTTGCACATCTGTAGTCCCAACAGGGGATGCGCTCTTCCTCATGCTAAGTTGATCACATGCTTGGGTGTGTGATGTGATACCATGATTTCTTGCTGATGGTGGTTAGAACTGGTATCCTTTTTTTATTGGCAATGCCCATAAGGTGCCCATTTCAATGGGCAAGCAATTTTTAAGAAATCATTTCCATGTTGCACATCTGTAGTCCCAACAGGGGATGCGCTCTTCCTCATGCTAAGTTGATCACATGCTTGGGTGTGTGATGTGATACCATGATTTCTTGCTGATGGTGGTTAGAACTGGTATCCTTTTTTTATTGGCAATGCCCATAAGGTGCCCATTTCAATGGGCAAGCAATTTTTAAGAAATCGTAGAAAACGTTGCTTACTCCCGCCTCGTTGTTTATTGATATGGGTAACCGTACGGTTCAATGACGATACGTGACAATTGTTATCAAACTTGCCACCGAGTCGAATCATCGAACTGAATCGAAACTTATTCTCACTACTCGTCGTAAATGATTTCCATCAAAATTTGATGAATGTCCTAAGCGCTATCCGTTAGCGTAGGTATGCGTCGCATGCAAAAAAAGCACAATTATTTGCAGTGAGTTTGGAATTGACCATCATCCAAAGGGCCTGAGATTGTCAAGGGTACTCATGAGAAAAAACCGCATTCGACTGGACAAATGATTTGCAAAAGTGTTCTGCTCAAGAGAAAATGTCTGCGTCAAGTTCAAAACTCAAACGAATCCGTGAACATCGAGTTTTCCATATTGATAAGTTAGACTTGGCAACTTTCATCTGGGACGATTTGTCCAATTTCTAAAATTGACTGAGTTTTTTCCTCCTTCAAATTCATTGGTTTCGATGGGTCTTTGATAAGGTAAGAGACAAATTCGAAAATCTTCTTCATTTAACGTAGTGAAGCCGAATTTCTGCCAGTGACAACGCTGAAAAGAAACATACTTAGTAGACTCAATTTTTGAGAATAACCTCCAGACCGAAATTTTGTAACTCTATTTACATTTAAATTTCTTTTTTCTTCCTATTTCTCCCCATTTTCATCATATTTTATGGGATACAGTTTCAGTACAGACACTGCTTTACAAGATAGAAGCCTCGAGAACATAAAAAGTTTTGCAAAATTTAATGACCGGTGCAGATAGAAGTATGATCCAACTCAGATCTTCCTTACCTAAGCTGCTGACCTGCAAACGAGCACAGCTGATCCGACTAGAATTAGTGCGGTTCTGAAAGATTCCTTCACAATTGTAATGTTCGCCTTTAGAAGGGTTTTAACCATCACCTCGATGACATCACGTCGTAAATACTTTAATCCAAGGGCCCAGTAGAAAAGAAAGCTGGAAAATGAGCCAACACAACATAGAGTAGCAGCGGATTCTTTGATAGAGAATTCATCACTGGTGTTAACAGTAATAAAAGGGTATCAAAATGGGTATTACCACTATTCGATAATATTGAGCTTCCCATTTTAATATGCCTTTATACCAGTTTGGAAGCACATTCGAAAAGTTGTGTTTTTTCTCAGCTAGCTGTATTATGTAGGTTTGATGTATAGAAATAGTGTGGGTCATTTTAGTGAAATATTTCATGCCCTCCTCAGGGCCAACGAGCCCAACAAGAAAGATCTGATTTTTGTCAGTGATAGGCAGGTGTCATTAATACAATACCAAGTATGACACTTTTTTTGAATTTGAATATTCTCTGTGGCCTTGCTAACACCATTTGTACGAAATTTTTGCTTGCCCTTGAAAAGCACAGCATGAAAACCCTGGTGCTCACCTTGAAACTCATCAACGTTCATCAACCTCACTTGTCAAGAAAGGGTGCAACTATAATACATAGTTAACATTCACCTAAAGGTTTCCGTACTCGGACCTTTTAAAAAATAAAGGACCGGGCTACTCAAGGACAAGAACATTTGCTTTTGAAAGTGTTTGGTTGAGAGCTGCTCTTGTATCGGGGGGCTTCGCTTACACACTAGGAACACGTTTCTATTCCATTTCATTTTATTGACGTGTGACTATTTGTATCAGATTGGCAATTAAGCATTATAATTGCTTACAATTAAGGAAAACATAACTATTTTTCTTACGAATAAGGAACATTTTCTTACAGAATATTGGCCATAAAATAGTCGGGTACCTGGTTTATGAATATACATAAATTATCTTTAAGAACAAGTCATTACCCTCCGGGATAAATGATTGGTTGAAGTGTTTAGTTGAAAGCCTACTAGGGTAGTATGTCACTAACCCTTTTCGTTGCAGCCACCGTTGTTTTCTGATTCTTCAAGCTAATAGCCAGCTTGAGGAATCAGAAAACAGCTTGAGGACAACCCTCATGAGCTTGAGTTCATGAACTAAAATCTCAACCACCGTAGTCCTAACGATAACTGAAGTGGCCACATAAACGACGAACCGGTTTCGCTTTGCTAAGCGAATGTACTGTATTAAAGCCAATAAGCTGTAGTTGATCACAATAGATAAACACGTGCGATCTGAAACCGGTTCTACACTATTCTGCGTTTTTATCCTGACTTACTACGGCAGCCAACAAACTCTCGCCCTAACGGCAACTTCCTGCACTCCACAGAGAGAATGGCATCAAATTAATGAAAAGGACAAATCACTGCTGTCATTTTTTTGATATGCATTTTTGTAACAAGCGAAAAAATGGAACAGGTCGGAACTACCGAGTTTTTTCGAGTTTTGGCACTGGCGGTCAGCTAGACTCCGGAATTCCAGAACTGGAATGCTTGGAAGTGATAGCTACCTCCACAAAACCGCTCATAAGCCAGCAACATTTTCCTTATGACTGCTGAGGCTTGGAACTTTACCAGCTGTCCATTGAACACCGCATAAATCGACTCAGTTGTAATGCCGTGCTTACCTACAAATCCAGCTTCTTCATACTGAAACTCTGGGTGGTCCATACTGGTCCATACTGATAGTCCATGCTACCATGTTTACTAGAGACATAGCAATTTGAAGTGGTAAACGGTAAAATGTCTCAATCGGTTTCTGCAGCTTGACGTGATCTTTCAAGACTCTTTCGTTCAAACTGGTGGGTAGTCAGTGCCAATCATTGCCCCTTAGAAGAATAGTCTGATCGCCATTGCCGATAATTAAACAATCACGTAGCAAGGAATGAGGAATCAAGATGGACAAGATTCACGGAACAAGTAACAGAAAATTTAGCAGCTCTGAATTTTCAAAGATATGAATGACAAATACCGACTCGAAGGGATAATAGTGGACAGTCAGGGATAGTGAGAACGGCTCTTATTGGATTATCGCGTGAGATTTCCTCCATGAGTGCAGAGGAAACCCTGGAAACCGACAAAACTGATCTATTAGGCATTCAATTTGACAACGTACACTGCTACCAATTTGCTTAGTCATGAACAAAACGATGGGCTCTAGCAGAAGCATGATGTTTTGGAGCACACCCATAACCCACTTCCCTACTCTACTCATTTTAAGACTATAGTGAAAAGGTGTAGGTATTACTGCAGGTAACTGATTAATACGGCGTACAGGAAGGGAAGGAAGTGAAGGCGCAGTTTTGATTCTCACAAACAGACGTTTGCGAATCTTAGGTACATGAATGAACTTCAATGACAATCTTTTTATCGCTAATCTATACAGCAGCTAACAAAATCAAAGCAAAATTTTTTGAAGTTAATGAAGTGTGCTTTCCTTCTCATGACTCAAGCTTTTGAATCTTTTTAGAGATGGCTGTGGAACGACAAAGGCGTGTCTATTCAAGCCTTCAGGATGTGACCCTAATCTCGATTGTACCATTGGCCTTATCTTTTTCGTAGTGGGACCAAATCAACTACGAATGGAGATGGTGGCCACATCGCTCATACCGGCCGTACAACAACAGTATATCGCTATCGCTTTTTCAAACGATGCAATCATGGTGAGCTAGCATATTCTACTTTTTTCTCACTTATTGTGCTATCCTTCAATTCCGAGCTTTTGAAATTCGTTTGTTGAGACGCTCTCGACGAACCCTCAGTTCACCATTTTTTATGAATATAAATCCTGAACTATTAGAGTAAAATGGGAATAATTTAAANTGAGCAGGTGTAGGTGTTACTGTGGGTAACTGACTGCGGGGCGCACAGGAAATGAAGGCGCAGTTTTGATCCTTACAATCAGATGTTGCTAAGCCTTAGGCTTAGATGAGCACTTCTGAGGTGATCTCTGTACCGCAAATCTATCCAGCAGCTAACAAAAGCAGAACAAACACGACCATTACTTTTTATAGTTAATGAGTGGGCCTTCCTTCTCATAACTTTACCTTTGAATCTTTTCAGGGATGGCTGTGGAACGACAAAGGCGTGTCTATTCAAGCCCTCTGGGTGTGATCCAAATCTCGATTGTACCATTGGCCTTATCTTTTTCGTAGTGGGACCAAACCAACTGCGAATGGAGATGGTGGCCACGTCTCTCATACCGGCCGTTCAACAGCAGTATATCGCTATCGCTTTTTCAAACGATGCAATCATGGTGAGCTAGCATATTCTACTTTCTTCTCACTTATTGTGCTATCCTTCAATTCCGAGCTTTTGAAATTCGTTTGTTGAGACGCTCTCGACGAACCCTCAGTTCACCATTTTTTATGAATATAAATCCTGAACTATTAGAGTAAAATGGGAATAATTTAAATGACTCATAGCCAGAAAATGGGACTGGAGGCACAAGGAGGAAGATTCCCTACAAACGGTCAAATCCTTTCATACAAGAATAGCGAGTTGTAGACAAAATATGAACCTCGCAAGTAACCCAAACCTGTACTTGGGCTAACCGTGCAGTGTGCTCATATCCCTTGTACTACCGAAATCCCTCTTTCACTGCCTTTCTAAGAGCTTATGGCCATAACTCTTCAGCACCCACACGTTCAGTTCATATACATATTACCTCAAAGTTTTACGTTAATTATTCCATTAATGATTGTTTTGTGCTTTTAAATTAAATGCCAAATGTAAAAATACAGCCTTGTGAATAATTCCACCACAATCCTTGACCTCAGGAGAAAAAGCATTCTAACCATATGAAGCCAAGTATTATTGGCCCAGACCGAAGGCATTGCCATCCTTCCGTAGAAATTGTATCAGGTGAATCGCTTACTACCAAAAAATTTCTGTGGGAACTCGTATGCGACCCTTACTCCACATGTTCAAGGTCTCATTTTGTTCACTCCATTTGCCTAGTCATATCCAGTTCAGCTCCGCGCTTACATACACAGATTCCCCACTAACCGACCACTCAACCCTCATCTCTCAAGGTCAATCACTACCAGAAAAAAGTAGTTTCGCTTACAATGCGATAACTCGTAATGCAGTGGAATGTGACTAAGCGATCTATAAAAAAGGGCAAATATTATTGGGATCTGGGCACAGAGCTGATTACCTCACTTGAAGAAAAATTAGATTAACCAGATGCAATAATCGGGGTCTGGGTGCGATATCCTTTCAGTTTCCAAAGAAAACACTTACGATAGAACGTTTGAGCGAGACGAGGATGTATCTGGAAAGTATATATGGATGCATGAAATATGGATATGAAAAATCTTGAATATATGTAACCGTTTCCGAAGCGCTTACCCTCCAAAAATGAGTGTTTTGGATGAGAACTTCTGAATCACATTTCTTTCAGGGTGATGACTTCGTTACCGAATGTGTATTGAGCGATATGGGACAGTTTGCTGGTTGGGAACCTGAGATATTCGTCTCGTTCAATCACGGGAAAGCCAACGATCGTATCTATCTTAATGACGTTCGTCCCGATATTACTCTTTATTATTTTTACGATCCCTATTGGAAAAACTTTCTCCTACTGCTCATTGCCTTTGAAACTGATGGCAATCCCACAATTTTCCCCTAACCATACAGAAATTCTATGTACATCGGAAAGATTGGGGTCAAATTTTTGTGAATTTAGCCTTTTGTTGATGAATATCATGGTTCCATTTCCTATTTTGATTATGGTATTCTGCCATCTTCCTACATGCAGGAACACCTTTAGCTCCTATGCAGCCTCAGGAAAAAGGGTTGCTTAGAACCTTTCGGTTTTTGGGTAGACCAGTAGATGCTACAACTCGAATAAAAGCGACCAGAAATATGCTTGCTTATTTTGACATAACCTTTCCCTGGTTTAAGTAAGCCTACCCACGGCTCAGCGCTGTTAGGGCTTCCCTACTTTCTGAATAAACTGTTGAAACCGTAAGATATCGGGGTTGTATCGTTGTGGAATTTCTAATTTTCAACCTTTTCGTAAAAGATAACCAATCTTCTTATTCGTTCAGGATGAGCATAACCAGTTGATAACGAATGTCTCTTCTCAAGTCGTCGATGGACGGCTTGTCTGCCAGTTTACGCAACAAATTGTACCTCAAATCGATCGACGTAATGGACTTATTTGGAGCCTCGATAAACCGTTTTATATCATGGGAGCTACTGGTTCGGCACAGCCCGATGGTAAGTTTAATGGAAGGGAACTTCAATAACAAATAACAGAGGCATGAAGATAATTACATTATAAACTTGATTCCCCCTGTACATTACCTTCCAAACACCCTCTGAGGATGTTTAGATCTTCCCTGAAATTCTGTAGTTTGGGTTGCTAAAGTGTTACTCAAATGTAGTAATAACTGTAACAACAGAGGTATAGTGGCAATAGCTCACAGTACCACAGCACGGTCCAGGGATCGAATCCCGGATTTGTCCCAGAACCAGGCGTTATGGGTAATTTGGGAGCGTTAGCAAGCCACCGCAGTAAGTTGTATGGGTCACATACGCATTCAAAAAGGTCACTACAATTCTGAATGGGAGTCGTTTGCTGGGAGCATTCCAAAACGAGGATTGATTAACGCCAAGATAACTGCTTTTTGCTCTTTATGTTCAGTATGTTTATGTCTGCTATCTATAACGAAGCAGACATGGGAACGGTTATATCTACTCATTGTATTAGCTGAACGTTTTATATAGTTGAAAGAATACGTTACCCAAAATGCCTAAGTCTTTCAAAAGTCGGCGTCAGTTGGGCCGCTGATCAATCTGAGGGGTGCGCCCTGCATTCCACTTCCATTCAGAGTCGTAGCGGCGCAATGAATGCGTGGCTTACACAATGACTTGTGGTGGCCAGCCGATGTACAATTTAGAGTTTTCATACACCCAAACGAGTCTCTTACCAATTAACTGCCCCGGAGGGATGGAAGACTTGGTTGGCGCGGGTATCGGTGCGGGATTTGAACCAGTGACCCCGCATGTATGTTAGTCACTTCCGCTTGTCACCACATCACCTCCGCTATCTATACATATGTAAACGCAAAATTTCGGTAAATAAATCGTGCCCTTAAGATACATACAGTATAGGCCACCGCAAGCTACGAAGAAGACGGTAGCTCTGTTGCGGATTTTAAAATGTTCAAAATCAATCAAAATTAACCATTCATCCCGTTGAAAAGATAAATTTTCGAATTTCAATTGCTGAATTTTCCAGAAGTAAACGCTCACGACACCAACCGCGGCTCTCACTTTTACCCGATTGTCTCGTCAGCGAAAATCAATCCATCTACTATTGGTGGATTAAAGGTTAGTCTGCTAAATAAGATTCCACCGGTAGATGTCTCTTATAGGAAATCAGTTGAATTGAAGTTTTTGAGTGAAACATTAAGGAGTTTAAAAAGCAATAACAAAGTAGTCACTGATTTTCTGACTTTTGTAAGACTGTATTACTTCGAGTTAATCTATTCCATTGCAGTTCGATCAACCAGTGATCTCCGCTGTCAGTGAAGTTGATATCACGATTGCTTCTGCACCATCGTCTACCCCGTCAGCTGCAGGTTTCAACGATGAACCCGCCGAAGTTGAAGATTCCCCTGTTACCATGGTGGTGGAAGAAAACTCGTCCGCAAGTTACCGGAATAAGGACAGCTCGACCGTTGCCTATTCGACCAATGACGTTTCGATGGCTACCTACTCAGGGAGCGAAAGCTCGTCCTTCGTTTATTCGGGAAGTGGCCACCCAGTTGCCATTGTCTCACTGTACTCAATCGTGCTACTTCTTCGATTGCTCTAATTGCCATTCCTTTTAGTATTCAATGTTATGTCCTAGTCTATTAACAAGTTACCGAAAAGCTTATGCCCGCTGGGATTCTATTTTCCAACTCGCCCTATTTCGAATCAACTCTTACAAATTACGAACGTAATGAATCAAGGTGATTGCTTGTTGAGTAATCCCAGTGAATCCCTGTTGGCTTAGTTCCATTGCGTTCCTACAGGATGCATATTTTTAGAATTCTTCACCATTGTCACATATTCTTTTACGGGTATACTCTGTGTATAGAAGTGTCTTTTCATTTCCGGCATATTAAAAGCGAAGAGATTTTATGGTGAATGTTTGAATGATTCGATGAATAAAGTTTTAGATCGAAATCAAATTGTAGTCACATATGCAGGCATGCTTTGCAACTGTTTGTACATGATCTGATAAAGGAAGGTAGCAGAAAGCTCTCATTGCCATTACTCTAGAGATCCATCTCATCGGCGCATCTCTGCTAAAACAACGATAGGACAGCCTTAGTACACACTGGACCTAGCCTTCTCTGGCATCGGACAGCATGACAACCTATGAGAAGCAAAGAAATCTTGGGTTACGTAGGACACCTTGTATTCTGGATCCTGACATGACTATTAGGTTGATGCATAATTATTGCGGATTTTTTCGCGGCTCCTTTTCTCTCGATAAAATTGAATTTTCGAATTCGGGATTTTTGTAGAAATAGTCTTTTTGCTTTCCTTAACAGAAGTACTCCTAAAATTTCCTATACGCCAAATTATGCTCTATCACTTCGAGAAATGTTGGAAGGCGGCACACTCATAACGTGATCTCAACGAACTTCTCAGCGATGGAACAGTCAGCCAAAGCCGAACAAGGAATGGAGTCTGCTTCTATGGTCACCCAATTCACCAACAGATACTCCTATGGATTATCACGTCAATCGCCCTTTGGAAAATTGGTTAACGAAAACAACTTTCGACGAAGTGGATTTCCTGCTGGCCAAAGTCGAGGCGTGATCGCCTCCAAGAATCGAAACATCTTCGTTTGTGGAATCCGATGGCCTAGCAAATGGGAAGCAGTGCTTGACCTAGAAGGTGGATATGTTCCGAGGCAATTACTTGAACATGTCTCTGCTAGTTATTTCTACCGTTTCTTCAAGTAAAATTTGCTGAAAAAAAATCCGCAATAATTATGCATCAACCTAATACCTCTACACATGGACATGGAAACTTACTATCTTACTTCATACCTATAACAGGAGAACAGTTGCTACAACAATGCTGCTCTACAAGAGCTCCTCGAGGTGACTAGCCATATCGACTATTATGTAATTGCGCCCTGAGAAATTATGTGCTGGTTTTATCGTGCACCCTTCTAACATCCATCTCGTCGACTTTCACAATATCCTATCTCCTCGCTTTGCTATCACACGCCATGATATGTACTCCTGAAGACCATCACTATCCTTAGTCGCTAGTTTACACCCTCTGTAACCGACGAAGTAGAGCTCGATACGTCTTACGACCAGCTAGTAGATATCATTCACATCGAGAAGTCTTACTACAAGTTCATTACTGGGAACTTCAACGCTAGGATTAGCGAAGCATCCGAGGGGTACAGGTTTGAAGTGTTTTGAGTGGGAACAGGAACGAGAACGGAAAGCGTCTGGCAGGACCTCTGTTCGCCGCTCAACTCTTTCATGGCAGCTCTTGCAATTGGTATAACTCATGCTGAATTGGAAAACATATTAACGAACAGAAAGGAGCAGTTAGTGTGGTACCATTTTTCTGCAGCGGCTGTAATCGTCAACTGTTTCCCCTGAAGATCAGCTTCGGTCATAAGCTGGAGATCTCTCCACATCATTCACAAGAGCACGGAACAACTCCTATGAAGACGTTCCGAATGACGCTTTGCCCCCATATGACGGCAGGTTTTGGAAGACCCGGTCGTGGAATACTATGCGCCGATTTGAGGTCTCCTCACCTGCGCTGAACAGGCAAAGCTTCTATTCATGGATACCTCCACTTGCGTTCAGATGTGACGACTGACTTGCTCAAGTCTTTAAGAGCTTAACGTTTGTCCACAGTAATAGCTATTTAGGCCTCGCCACACAAACAGTGTGGCGAGACCTAAACAAGTCTGAAGTGATACCGACGGGCCCTTTAGGAACATAGAATTCCTTTCATATTAATAGAGTGAGGACGTAACTCCTACAACATCGAGAATCTTACGAGGTTCAAGGTGAAGGATGTTACACGGAGGTGACACTAACTTGTATCGATCCATATACGCGTGCGAAATCCTAAAATTTTCTATAGATGACCTCCAATACTTCCGTAGGAGCTAAGAGTTACGCTTGCGAGGATAAGGGACACTATTTCGAGAACCAGACAAGACACCTTAATCAACATATTCCGAGCAGGTAGTCACGAAATTATGTGCTCTTCGCTACACAGATGACATCCTACCTACACATGGAGATCTCTAACAAGTGGAAGAACTAGACGACGCATGAATGCCTACATTTGGCTTCACTTTCACGGATAACTCCAGGAGGCAGGCAGAAATGTCGCAAAAGCACCCTAGGAGACCGTTTCCTCCTTCAGCGTAGACGTTCCTGTAGAAAGAATAAGGAGTATGTGCATATACAAGGAAAGGAACAATAGAGGAAAGGTTCTTATACTTTGGAAAACAGCCTTCTCTGTTTCTGTGTTTGGATAAACCTTCGCTACGGTACGGGAAATCGATAAAAGGAAGAGTTCCTGAGAGAGAAACCTTTAAGAATGGACCCTTTGGAATAAACCCCGATACAGAACAAAAGATAGTTACCCTACAACAAGAAACTATGGAAGCAGGAGCACTGGCGTTATGCAACACAAACCTACATTTCCGTTAGAATGCTAACACTTTTTAGGTAAGGCTTATAGTCGATTGCTCTCAGTGAACTCACCATAATCTTTTTGCACTTTCACCTACTTCTTTCAACTACTTCAGATTCACAAAAATGCAAAAAGATTACTGTACGAAGGAATGGTAGGTGTTAGTCGATGACACTATCCATTGTCTGAAGGAATGGCGTGTCCTCATGAGGTGCACTGTAACTTACCGTACCATTACCATAGCGCGTATTCAGTCGGTAGCCAAACGAGAATTCTGGCAACTCGATCTTCACAACTCTTTTGAATTAGTCATTTGCGTCATTAACATCTGTAACACCACCGCGTTCTCATCGTTCTGATCGATTCCTCGCTACTACTCGTTGTTAACACGATCATCTCATTTGATCATTTGACCGAGAAAACAACAAAAGGCATCCTTCCCAATTCTGTTCCAGTTGATCACAGCAAGTCAGGTAGCGGGAGGAGGGAGAAGGGGGACCGAAGAGTTGTGAAGGAGATCAATGAGTAGGCTGAATACCGTAGAAATACACTTTATCGAGTCTAAATATACATATACACGACTTAATCTTGTCATACTATTACGTAGTGTGCACCATCGATTTTACGCGATTTTCAGCGTCCACCACGCGACATGGCAATGACCAATCGATAAATCAATAACTAGCAGTGAGGCAAAAGGTAATCATGGAAAGCACTTTGAGTGTAAGCAGAAGGAATGCAGCTGAGGGAAGGGAACAGCTAGGCTTGAGAACGTTCGGCGACGGCGTTCGCCTCCAAGTTGTTGTTCTCTTCAAGTGACTTTTCCAATTGATGTCGGCTATCATCGCCAAGCAGCTTAAAGTGTACATGGCAGTATAAACTGCCTTCTTTGCTGCGATGAGCACGCTCCACGCTGAAAACGTAGACATTGTGGAAATCAAGCTATTCAGCTTTTAGCTACGAAAAGCTCCATCAAAAGAAAATAAAAACAAACGAATCATAAAAACAACATCCTCATTCTGTTCTTTTGAGACCCTCAACTGTGACCAATCCCCATCCCCATCGCGCTGCGACTTGACTACTATACTGGTGCACTCCCACAGGAAGCCTCAAAATCTCGGAGGCTTCTTGCAACTTTTGAATGCTGTGCTTTTAGATGAATTTCTGAGTGAAATTGAACAAATAAACTTTTTCCGCCAGAAACATGCCCACGTTACTGTCAAGGAAACTCCTCTCAACCTCGTTCCCATTTGGAAGATGATACAATTGTTCAAACGAGGAATGTGAAGGAAACCTAGGAGAACTTACCGCAGCGCTTGTCGACATACTGTACATCTAAAGCAGTTCACGTGGTACTGTAAGCCGAAACATCCGAATTGTTCGGCTCGGTATACGGTATTGCTGCATATGGCACATTTCGGTTGTGGGCGCATCACGAAACGCTGTAAAAAAACACACACAAAATCATGCTTGTTAGATCAAACTAGTTAGATGAGTTATGTATTACAAACTGGCTACCCAAAGGTGTTAAGTATTTCCAGAAAGTCGATATATCGATTGGCCGAGCCATTTCATACGGTAGCTGCGCAGGGTTTACCGTAATGGCGTCCCTTCTTACGTACAATAAAGGTTAGTAAAACACTTCAACTGCAACGCTTTTCAAACGGATGTTTTTGAGGGAATTCGAAAGTCTCGTTCCTCTTGTTGTTGTGTTGTTTCTTGTTACATTTGTTACAATTATAAACAAAAACGAGCTTGAAAAAAAAAACCAAGTAGTTATGCTTTGGCTGTCATCATAATAACTGCAATTACTTGCATGAGTGGCTCAACTTGGTAGTCTACAGAAAACGCAATCATTGAAGAGAAAGGAAATAATCTATTGACGGATATATTTTCAATTCTATCGCTATAAGAAAAAATTATATTGCTCTGAAATACTGGCTTAGGTACCTATTTTCAAATAGCTAAGGTCCATTGATAAAGTTGGGAAACGATCACAACTGGTTGACACCCGAGTAGTGATCATCCGGAAGTTCGTCATTATTCAATCATTGCTCGTGTAGATACCATGCAAAAAGAGGGAACTGGCTTTTGTCAGGTCCACCATAAAGCTCCTAAATGACCACAACTCCCTGAACCCTCCGAAAAAGCCTACTATCCAACTTTGATGGGCCAATACTTTCTTGGCGTGGGTTGGCTGGAGCTGGTCTGAGCACGCAGTAATGTCGGAAACCATCCGATTACTTCCACTGTCGGTTTTTTACAAACCAAGGTATGGGGCTTATATAGGAAAAGATTCGTTGCTGTAGAGCCGCTTTATGTGGTTGACGTCTCCGACAAATCCTCGTCTTCAAGGACATGAAAGAAAGCAGTTGGAAGCTGCATAGGTGGTGTATCATGGTCCCCTGCTGTTCAAGTAATCGATTGGGACCTCAGCACTGCTGGAACTGCAAAAGGATGGTTACTTGACTATGTGCGTCCGGGTATCTGGGAGTGAGAGAAACTGGCTTAGGACGTTCAAGCGCTTGATCGGATATAAGGAGCTCTGAACTTCTTTCATGTCCTTGAAGGTAATGAATCGTTGGGAACTCCGAACAAATAAAGCTGCTGTAACAATCCTCTATGGCAGAGCAACATAAACATCATCCTATTATTTCTTGGTTATAAGTTAGTGAAAAAACCAAGCACTCTCAAACGATTAGTAGGTTATTCACGCTTTACACCGCACACTTCGGTAACCGTGTGTACAGCGAATCACGTTGATAACCTTTATTGCTGAAGATATATGTACGTCAATAAAATAATAAGTCAGCCGGTGGCAAATCTACATACAGAAACGACAAACAAAAAAAAANNNAAAAAAAAATAAAAGAACCCCGTCACGACTCCGAGGACTAGTACGGTAGGGAAACAACGAGAGAGAGAGAGACGCCGACAACGAAAGAGGCGACGAAAGAGTGAAGGACAGAGACGCAAAGTGTTGCCTGCGTACGGCCGGTGGGAGTCGTGGCGATACACGGATCATGAGGAAGCAACAATTGCAAGAGAGCAACAGATGATTGTGTGTGACACGGGTTTTTTAGGTGTAGTGCAGGTGCTGCGGTTGTGCGATGCGCGCTCATTGGTCCTGTAACGAATTATCAATCGTATCGACTAGTTAGATAGTATACGGTATTGTTATCAGCGAATCGGACCAGACTTGCCACCTTTGACATACGGCAATTAAAGCAATAATTTAAAAAGCTCATAATAACGCAGTTATAAGTTGAAAGCACAACAAATATTGATTAATTTGACAGACATTCCTAAGCTAGCCTATGGTGATTAAATGGTTAAATGAACGTTAACGTTGAGCGATAGCCAGTAACTGGTGCCAGTACTGTTGTGCTGCAGTTAACACTATTAATGCGAGGCACAAAACGGTCGCGGCCAGCTGAAATATTGCTGTATGTAGTGACAAGCCTTCGAGTACCGATTGAAATATTGATCTATCGATTAATTTCAAGCACTACATTTATCTAAGCTCTATGGTGTGAGGCTATCACAATACGTGACAAGGATAAGTTCCAGCACCTCAAGTGATTGAGACTACTGAGAGTAGCGGCTATACTTGGCGAAATCGCTTTCAGCGTTGGCTCAATAGCATGCAAGTAGAAGAGACAGAGGCATGAATGCAGACGGATCGCCAATCGTTTCAACTTTTACGTGAGGACCATACCTTTGGGAAATGATGGATATTGACTTAGTCTACAACGAGTATAATCGCAGCCCAGAAACGCTCCCATCGTTATAAGCGGGAAAGGATGTTCCTTGAATAATTAGAAGCATGAGCCAAGGCACTGATTGGCTGCAGCTAACTGTCCATAATAGCAAATCTGCATCCCTTTCGCCTACATTATTAACCTCAGCACAGAAATGCACTCATTGTGGAGAAGGGAGACTAGCTACTTGGTATAGAGTGGGAAGGATCGTCAAGAAGGTTTTTAGTAGATCATTGGCCATTTCAGTAGCATTGAAGTCCTATATTATTGTGGACCGATGCCACGGTCCCGCCCTTATGGGCGGAGCGTGCGTCACCCACTTTCATACGACGCGAAACTACAACTGGACACATACATCACGTCAGCTCTTCTAGAAATCAGACCTTCACAGCGACTTCGAAAGATGTTATAGGTAGCATTTTTATACTAGTTATTAGTACTTTAAGGGGGTATCCAAAAAGCGTTCTAGTCTAAATAAGAACTAGAGTATCTTAGAAGCATTATTTAGCAGAGTTCTGTTGCTTTTTGCCTATTTAGGTTGGTTAAAGAATCATCAGGATATATTAGCTAACTGCACACTGACTCTCTATATGATCAGCTACAATGTCTCACACTTACGAGCTAATTACACGGCATGGATTCCTCACTGTTGCTATAAAACAGAACTTTTAAATGACGGAGAATTCCATCTTAGCGAAGAATGAAGGCTAAGACGTCATAGAGGACGGATACATTGGTAAAGGTTTCACAGATTCCTAGAGAGTAATCTGAAAAAGGGAGGGTAACTTACCGCCACTTTTTTCTCGGGCATTCGGCTCTTTTCGGCTTTTTTGGCCTCTTTGGCTTGGATCTTTTCCCATTTCGCAGCCATCTTTGCAGCATGCTCGGCCTTAACACGAAAACGTGATGACAGTAGCTCTTGAATATGACATCGTTTAGAGTAATCCTAGCCTAGCTTTGTCAACACTGATGAAAACTCTCACCTTTATGTTGACGTCGTCTTTTTCAACTTCCTTGGGCGCCTCCATGGCTCGTTCTTCTTCGAGCCGTCGCTGGGCCTCCTCACGTTCCTCTGAATGAGTTTTACTAGCTCGTTACTAACAGATGGGATTTACTTCATCGTAGGCTGCGAACTCACTCTTCAGCCGCTCGAATTCTTCCTGCATTTGCCGCCGTTTCTCCTCAGCCAAGTCTGAATCGTCGTCAATGCCTTCTTCGAAGCGCTGCTTCAAAGTTTTAGCCTCCGTTTTCAAAGCTTCCAGCTCAGCTCGTTGTTCCCTGAAAGAGCATAGCATTGACCGCAAACGAGTTGGATGTTAATAAAAGCTTACGCATTAAGAGCCGAGGTGGTTGTGTCAGCTTCAGCGATATGCTTGAATTTGTTCATGAGATTCTTGATATCGAATGCATCTTCGCCCTCATCATCATCATCTATAACCAATTAATCAGCCACATGTCTTTACAGATGATTTTGACGACAAAGCTTTAGAGGACATGGAGTAGTGGCAAGTAGCGCAACTCATAACATACGATCCAGAGATGAGTCCCGGATGGATAGCCACTCAGTGCAACCGATTTTTCTTCTCTTTGAGGCCGATTAATTGGTGCTACACTTGTCTGGGAAAGCACCGACTTCTATATAGGCCAGCCATCGTGGGTCATTGTGCGAGCCACATAAGTAAATGCCTGCAATCTTGGGGTTTTAATCAAACCTGTTCGAGGAATGCGCCACGCATTCGGCTTCCTTTGAGGATTGTAGCGGCGTATTGAATGTGTATATGGCCCATACAATGAATTGCGGCGGCCAATACAAGCCAGTGCTTTTACCCTCCCAGACGAGTCTGTCACCAAATAACCGAACCAAGAGGGTTAGAAGGCTTGGTTGCTCTGAGCGGATATCGATACGGGTTCAAACCCTTGACTATGCAGTTGTAATAATGCGCCACTTGTCACTACAGCCATAGGCCACATAAGGAAACAGAAAGTTCATTAATGCCTCCAAGTTCAGGGGCATTCAAAAGGCTCAAGCTTGATGCCGTCAGGCAAACATACACATGCGAAGGTGGCCAATTATCATATCAAAGCCATGTCAAGAGATTAAATTGCCATTAAACATCGATCTCCCATATATTTGACGTTCAAATCTAGGTGACGATAAAGTCTTATCCATTTTACAGAGTACTCACAATCGTCAACTGCTCTCCTATTGATGATTTCTGCAGCAGGTCGGTCTTCCCTTTTGTCCCATTTGCTGGGTTCCTGAAAGAAACGAGTGTAAAAGGCTGACTTTCAAAGACCATATTCAACTCTCCGTCTCCCAAACTTGAATGGCTACTGAAATGCACCTCTTGACACACCGCATGATTGACACATCTACTCATCATTGCCTTCAAGCCCTTAATCCCCAAGGAACTCCTTCAGAGAGGAAAATAGTTTTTCAAGCCACACATGTTTTCAAATCAAAAGTGGTAACCCCAAATTGAACACCGACCTTCCTGCCTTGATTGGGCATCACCGGTGCGGCACCAGAAGCGTCGATCTGCATGAATTTCTCCCTTGCTTTACCGGCCATTTTGATTTCAACATCGACATTCTTTCCTGAAAGCCAACGTTTTGCTTATCACTGAAAGCTTCTCGAAGATGATTTGCATACCGTCCATTTCGGCTGTCCTGAATGCTTCTCCCGTATCAAAGCGATCTTTGATCGACCCAACATCGGCTGCACCTTCTTCTCCCTCTTCAGCCTGGAAATAGGGTTAATTCTTAAGCTTTCCCGACCTGGCTTATCATACAATCCAACCTGTTGCTTGGCACGTTCGGCAGCTGCTCGTCTGGCCATTTTGTACCTGAGAAATTCCGCCTCGATTTCTTTTTTCTTCTGTGCTGCACGTTCTTCTGGTGACATCTCTTCTTCGCCCTGGAACCACCCTCATTGATGATATCAGTGGTCTTGCCATCTTTCCTTTATTAGTGAAAATAGACAGATTGCTGTGGGATTCTGTCGTCAATAATTACTCAGCTTATATTAGGAAAGGAAATGTAAGATCATTGGGCTCGTAGGGTGAAGTTAGAGCCCTCTTGAACTCCAAGCTGACCGATAACCATAGATAGTTTAGAGGCTCAAAGACCAAGCTCACTATTTTTTGCACAAATCTCTTGAAACGATACTTCGAAGATATTGGTTTCCGATATTATTCCGATTCTCACATCGCTACTTGTCCCGCTCCCCAATTTCCTTTCAAAGAAGAGGTTCACGTGAATTAAAGAACGACGAGTAATAGAAATATTAGAAAACAGGAAAATAATTGAAGAAGCAGTGAGAACCACAGCTACTTTCTTTTTTTCCGCCCCGCTTTTCAACTTTCCAGGTGGCCAGAAATGATTGCTACAACCGAAGGCAGGACTTGCCCAGAATGTGAATGGAAATCAGCTGAAGTATTGAAAAGTAAGGCGCCACTTCTCAGGATATCTTGATGCATTTGAAAGTCTTATCATAGCGATCACGAAGACATTTCAGACTCTCAAAAATGTCGGAAATCTGAGGTGGTCACTGCCAGAAGCAATGCAAACTATTCATAAGGGTGGGATTGAGTGAATTGGACAAGCTTGTTCACCAGTGAGATGAGGCATCCCAGAACAAATGGTTCCGTTCGGCTAGTGAATGGCCACTCGCTCTTGAATCCAAAAAACCAGTGTTCGTGACATGAATAGCTCTATGAACTGGATTATCAACTTGGGTCCCTACTTATGAAGCCGAATGAGGATCTGATGGTCAAACAAATACAGAAACGGCTTGCCCACTAAGAAACGACTGCTACCAACGTGTCTTCTATAACTCATCACTCCAGAATCAATGGATCTCATAGTTAGCAGAGTGGACGCTTGCACCTGCTCTATTCGTGGGTGGTTACCGCCTTCTTTCCTGTCCACAGTGAGATTCGATCTATACTATTTTATGAATAGTACGGTCTGAGAATGGCTTATAACGCCCTCTCAGAACCTCTTCCATTTGATGGCGATAAACATAGTCAACATCGTTGGATCAACAAGGGGTATCTTCTAAAAATATCCAAAGCCACTCGATGAACCTGGCACCCAAGCGAATGTTCACTGGACTATGCGGATTTGTATGAACTATGTAAGGACTTTTGTTTTCGTCAGGGACGGGAAGTAGTGAAGGCGGAAGGAAGAAGAGGCAATTCCAACTTTTTCAATCTAGGTGACGTCTGAAAGAATAATACCCCCTCACCTATTTGGAAAAGTTACTAAAGTTTGCGGGAACTCAAGAAGAAAAGCGTAGCGGGAGAAACACCAGTTCAACCTGTCAACAGCTCATATTTGACTAAATTATCAAATCATTGGATAGGATTCCAGATAACTCCAAAGCCTGATCGTCTTGGAGGCAAGCTCTTGGGTAAGATAGTCTTAAGAGGTTTGTTAAAACACTCGCAAAACCCTAACGCATCCATTTTGAAGTCGAATAAAAAAAATGAGTGCAAAAAGATGAAGAGAAAAGAAAAAAGTTTGCGATCAAAATTCAACGGTAGTCAGTGGAATGAGCAATGCAGACCCAGCGATGACCAGCAAATTGGGGTATGAATAAATATAAGAAACAAAAGGGAAGGAAATAAACGTCAAAACAAGAGGACATCAAGTGTGTGTTCATTTTCGTGGATTCTGCCGTCAAAAAACTCAAGATGAGTCGTCGGTTATCGACGAACAGCTGGTCGAAGCAGGCAAGATGAAGCGTAGGAGGATGAGCTGTCATAGCGGAAACGACAGCAACACGAAAACATTGGAAACCCTCAATATCCGAAAGACAAGGAGTGGGCATTTCACAGAAAATTCCCTTTCAAAGGATGATCACGAGAACCAAACTTTTGGGCAAAACCGGAGAACTGGTGTGTCGAATTTGGAAATCTTATTTACATGGAATCAGAAAAATCACTGCTTAGTGTGAATTACTTCTTGAAATAAGCCATACAGTTGGCTCCGACACAACTTGCAGGTTATGAGTTGTAATGTTTTGAAGGGTGTGCAAGGCAGTGACTTCTCCTGTTCACAGAGTACTAGTCCGACTTTCCTCATCAAGGTAATAATTTAAGAAGTTTGATGGATCTTTAAACACCACAATTCTATTTAAAAAAACTCTGAAAAAATTTTTGAGAATTTTTTCCAAGAAAAAAATTATTTTACTGACATGTTCGAAGGCTGCCTTAATGCCACCGAGGTTCACGTCTCCGGTCATGTCTACGGTCGTCTTTTGCACATCCACATCGCCTTCACCTCTCTCAAAGCGTTCTTTGAAGTCTTGCAATTCTGAAAATGAGTCTTTGACACTGCAATCTTTACCCATTACTCAAATATTAGTCATTTTATATTGAAACGAGATGCTTCGAAACCACTTTGTCTCTGGCAAATACAACAAGTGCTTCGTAAGGCCCTTAGAAGGTAAATATCTTTGTTCAGTGCACGCTAATGTGTCATTTGAGCCGTTTTATGTAGAAAATGGCATCGTGCAGTGGAGAGGTCTGAAAGGCGCAAAGAACGGAAAGGCAGCTGTTATTCAGGGTTGTATCAAAAGATTCTAATTCAACTCTCAAAAATTGCATTAATGAAGTCTAGGAGTCTTTTACCTATAATCAATCGCATTTATGGGATCCGCCTCGCACTCGACTCTATCCAGGATCGCAGTGGCAGTTTGAACGCGTATGTGGCCTATACAATGATTTCTTGTGCTTAGCCAATTTGAAAATTTTTGCTTTCAACTTCCCTGTCGGGTTTGGTACCAATTTGTCGACCCCAAGAGATGAAGGGCTTGGTTGGTAGAAGTGAGTATTGATCTGGGATTCGAACCCTGGACTATGCGTGAGTGATAGGACGCCGTTTCCCTTTAAATCACCGTCGTCCTTTCGAGCATTACTATTGCGTTGGTTTCACATTCGCCGTTTAAATTCTTGGAATTTTCTAAAAACGCCTCAAAAATGAATGAATGGCAGTACGGCGAATCACTGATGAATTTTTTCTTTAGAGAAATTGAACACAAAACTCCCTTATTTATTATAGAAGCGACGCGCTTACTCGCTCTTCCCCATCACTTCCCCTACGATCTTGGAACCCCTCACAGTCTCCCATGGTACGGAGCAAATCCATCAATGTTCCCCGTTACCCGTCGAGCTCATNGACGATCGACGGTGAATTAATGGTTTACAAGAGTTACGTCGACAGAGCGATCTCACTGGCATCAGACAGGAAAAGAAATGGATTTACAATAAATGAGATTAGCATGCAGTTTTAGGACTCGCCCATGAAACGTCAAAGCGATTCTGATCGTCGAATGACATGGGGATACAAAAACGGAATTGACTATCAACAAAAACCTTATCTTTCATTTTGATTATCTCGGAAATGATGGATGCCCGATTTTTTGGCTCCGCTATAAACACCGCTTAGGAAGCTCTCTCTGCTCTCAACTAGAATATCAAAATAGCTCACGTTTGAAGTGGAGATCTTCCAAATCCTTCGCACTTTTCTCGACTGCAGCGGCTTCGAACGCAGACCCCTGCATGAACGATTTTCGAGCTTCAGCGGCTCCTGAAGCATATTGTTTAGCATTATAAAATCTTACAGTCTAGCAGCTGGAAAGGTACATCGCTGTGAAACATGAGAAGGCTTCAGTAGGTTGTCAGCTCCCCAGTTCTTACGAATCTAATCAGTAACGGATGCAGCCCATTTTTACTCCAGTCAAGCGTTTCAAACAGCCGGCAAAAAGACAAGGCAAAGTATTTTGCCCAGGGCTCTCACAGATGCCCTTCTAATTGCTAGTAAACTAGACCAATTAGGTTTTAAAAAAGACGATTGTATATTGGATTAAGGCACTGATGTTTCGAAGTCCCTGGTTATCTCGCCGCTTGCGAAATTTATCGAGGATGTCCATGGGCTTTCCGGAAAGTGCAGATGTGTGACGCCCCNAAATCGTAAACTAGGAGCCCTTAGTTGAAATCCTCAGTCGTCGACTGGTAGTTTGATATAGTATCTTCTGAAGCACCCCTTCGAATAACGCTCTACTCTACCGTACGTTGTCCCTGATCGCAGCGAAAAACTTTAGGCTTTGGAAGCTACTCCAAAAGCTATCACTTAAGGTACCCCATGAAACAATCAGCAGACCTTTGTACCATCCCAGCTTCCGGAAACCTACTGCAACTCAGTGCAGCGCCCAAAGTCGACCGTGTCACTGTGAGTCTTTACTCCGTTTAACTTTGCTAAAGGTCATTATGGAAGAATGTGAGGCCGGCTGAGAGCTCCCGTCCAGGTATTCTCCCACACTACCATCACCTGCTTACAGCTCTTGTGGTAGTATGAAACACCATTCAGAAGAGAGTAGCTTCAATCAGCAGAATCGCGCTCCCCTCTCAAGATTTTTCAAGTTGCAGCCCACTAAGTTCTGGAAGAAGCAACTGCTGAAGCATCGGCCACTAATAAGAATGCCGCAGGTTCCGCAAGACCTAGGCGCCAATGTTGCATTTCATGTCATTTTGTACCATCTACTTTACGGTCCCTGTGGAGAGGTTGGCAATTTTTTTTTGTGGGCCAGATTTCACACTCGAAAGTCTTTAAAGGCGGATCGGTCGGAACATCGGGATTCCCAGGCACCATATGATCTTTCCATCTTTTTATTCTTAAAGTATGATCCGAAAAATACATTCCACAATTCCTTCTACTAACAAAACTTACCACTAAGTAAGCTTCCAACCCATCACCCGTGTTTAGGTGATATACCCGTAGACAGTTTATCTCTCGGAGAAAACAAAAGTGGGAACCATGAGTAAGTGGTAATTTCCCCTTTTCGGTCTTGCAGGTCCACCGCCGTTTCAAGGTTTACAGACAACTTTGAGACTCACAGAAGTACCTTTTTGAATTTTTCTANCTGTGAGATATTACAAAATACGATAGTGTTATTGTGACAATCACCTTCAAAGTATCGTTTCCGTATGAGGTAAAGCAAAGCACGCACAGCATCCGGATTGTCTTGAATAGGAAATGTTTCAAGCAGCTAAACTCAATAGCAAAAACAGACTAAAGCGAAGCGGAAACGTGAGCGAAATTGGACGAGCGTGGATGCGGTGTGTACGTGCTGTGACGCAGAGCTGTGTTCTGAGTTCGCGTTTCAAGAGCGTCAGCGAATTAGCGACTAGATCGTGGCACAAAAGGACCAATGTGTGCTATTCCAGTCATTCCAGCGGATTCACCGCCGTATTGAAAACACCAACTCAGAACGTAGACTTACGTGAAAAAGCGCTTTTCAGATGTGTGCATTGGATTTTGTTTTCAGAAACGAAGACGATGAACAGAAAAGGTGACATCACGAGACACCCCACATTAACATTGACCAGATTCCAAACGGGACCACCAGCCAATCATATGATAACGATTTACTGTTAGATTCACAAAAGAGCTTAAGCTCTGCCTCTGTGCCATGTAATCGAACTTAAAACATGTTGAACTTACCAGCGGTGTCCAGTTCGCTACGATCCCATTGACGCTCTACAATTGTTTCGGCTTCGTTGCGCTCATGGAAGCGCTCTTTCACGGACGGACCGGTCTGTAAAGGGTTTGCATTGAACTAATAGCTTTTACAACATTCTTTCTATGTTGTTCCTAAGTTAAGGTTCTTATTTGGAATTAATCAGCAGCTGAATGAAGAAGATACAACGACTATAATGAAAAGGAGTCCCAGAGGTTCAAGTGTCGTTACAATAACCTTCAATCGTGGGTTTCACTCGTATGTATTTGAAGGCTCAAACTTTGTTTTTCGTAGTATTAAGCCCGACTTTTGAAGAAAGTTTGAGAGTTTTAGATTTCGCTGAAGCGGATGATACTCACTGTGATACCTTTCTACTCGAATAGAGCTTTCTAGCGAACACTACAGCACACTATGGTAATCCTCCTTCCATTTATCCTGCTCTGAGGAAACGATAATTAGGTTCCCTACTCTATCGGGAAACTGATCAAAACTTTTTACAGGTTCAGTATCCAAATGTTACTCATACACCTAATATCTAATCACAAAGTTTCTTCTGCAGAGATTATTCTACTTTACTTTCTTTACTGCACAGTAATCAGGGAGGAGATGGTGTAATGGCAAGTGGCGCACTAGGTAACACGCACGATCAGGGGTTCTAGTCCCAGATCGATGTCCGCCTAGACCAACCAAGCCTTCCATTCCTGGATTAATTGGTAACAGACTTGTCTGAGAGAAAGCACCGACTTTTACGTGGGCTGGGCACGCAAGTCAATGTACGCAATGCAATCATTACGCCACTACGATTCTGAATATAAGTCGAATGTAAGGCGCTTCCCTCAGACGAGATTGATTAACGAGCCAGAACTTTCTCCTCTTAAACTGTAAAATATTTCATATTCGCTATTCTTGGCCATTCACTTCAATCAGTGAAAGATCCCAAAACTGAGCTCATGGGACCTTCCTCTTTTAGAAAGGCATAATAACCCAAGTTTAATGGTTGCCGTGTACTGGGTGCGGTAAACTATTCTGAAGGTTCATGAAGTTTCTGAGCTGCCATGGAATCAAATTTGTAAGAATAGGCCATGAATTTTGATTTAAGAGTCTTGGTGGGATTTTACCTTCAACACTTCTAAGTCTTTCTTCTCGTCGGCTGCTCTCAGTTCAGCCGTCTCCACATCACCTGTTTTCCATTTGTTCTTGAGATCTCCAACCTGTAACACAGGAAATACATTGTTTATCAATCACCACAAAAGTATCGACTTTTTAATTTTCTGTAGGGTGAGCCCAAGGGATAAGCATTTGTAGGAAACCCAGTGGTTCCAGTAATCTGTTTGGAGAAATTGAGTGGTTTTCCAGGATTGCTGTTCCACACTGGTGCCCTTCACAACTCTCCCCTCGTTTCCTCATCATTTTTCATTTTTACAAGCTGGTAGAACCTCATGGAACCTTTGATAAATTCTTTGCGCGCAACTGTTTGGTTGACCCTTCCAGCCGAAAACTTTGAGAGAATCTATTTGCCACTAGATGTCTAAGTTTAAAATTTTCCTTGTCCTTACATTTTCCACCTCCCCGTGGTCTTATCAAAACATGCTTATCAGGCAGCGTAGATTTCGAATCACAATATCGAATACCCCTTCGATTCAAAGGGTACTATTTGATCGGGAATGAGACTCTGTTGACTTCAGCCTCATAAGGTTCAAATTATTGCCAACATAATTTGAACTCAGTAGGTTTTTAGCATCTATCTTAAAAAAGTGTTGAAAGTCCTCACTCGAAGTCCCACCTTGAGAGAGGG